TGTTCATATCCTTAATCTTGGCTTAAAATTTTGTTTGAATTCATCCACCCAATCGAGAAAAAAATCTAAAAAATCATTTAGGGCTACGGGTTACGCCTGCCGTTCGTTGGGACCGATCCAGAACATTGATCTCGCGATCAATGGTCGGGATCGAATCACTCCGCTGCTTAGATTGACCATGCGATTTAACTTTGTGGTCTCATTTTTGATCCTGCGAGATCAGCGCCGTCTGTCTGAAACAGCGGGCGATCCGATGGTCAAAATTTACCACTGACATGATTAGTAAGACCCACGCCTGCGGCTTAATGATTGCCGCATTCATACAGCAATAGTTGTCGGCGGCACAATCATTGTGCCGCCAAGCAATGCTTGCCTTCGACCACGGAACCAATTAGGGGATGCCATGTAGCCCGCCGCCGATATTTAATTTAAATAACGATTTTGTAATTATTTTTAAATCTTTTCTAAATCATAATACTTAAAAAATTATTTTAAATTATTTTTAAGTCTAAAAAAATTCGTATAATATATTAAATCGCTCGTATTCTCAACCTCTTTAATTTAAAATTAATTTTAATTAAAAAAATATTTTGCACATTTTAAAATATTATAAAAATAGTTAATTTGATCATTTATTATTATTATTATTATTATTATTATTTATATTATTTGCATTTATTATCATTATTATTATTTTTAAAAAAAAAAATTATAAGGACCCGGACCAGACCGAGCAGCCGAACCTGCCGACCGGCCGCCGCCGCCTGCACGAAACCACCGTGGGCTGGCACCCGCCGCTTGCTGCGGCCGGCTGTTGCGCGCGGCTACCGCGCCACCGCGTGCCGTGTATGCTGAGCACATTCCGCGTGGTCAGCGCGCTATCCGCGCCATTTCGGGAGGCCGGTTGGCTGCCATCGCCTTAAGCGGGCCCCACCAGCCGAAAAAACTAACTTTCTGATATTTTCTGGTCCTAAAAATTCCAAAAAAAAATCCCAAAAAATTTCAAAATATTTGGAAACAATTTAGAAAAATTAGGGATTTCAAAAATGACATGCTGAGCACATTCCGCGTGGTCAGCGCGCTATCCGCGCCATTTCGGGAGGCCGGTTGGCTGCCATCGCCTTAAGCGGGCCCCACCAGCCGAAAAAACTAACTTTCTGATATTTTCTGGTCCTAAAAATTCCAAAAAAAAATCCCAAAAAATTTCAAAATATTTGGAAACAATTTAGAAAAATTAGGGATTTCAAAAATGACAATAACTGCCCTTCTCTCTCTCAAAAACTTATAAATAGGCCCCTTAGGCCTTTAGAAAAATTGCACCTTCTCATTTTCTCCCTCTGGCTCTCCGACAATTGAGGCTTTCCGCTATTTTCGAGTAGAAAATTTTCTCTGCTTGAATTAGCGCCCCTCCTCTTGTGTAGAAGTTAGGGGATTTTTCTTCCTCATTTTTTCCCCCTCTGAATTTCTAACAGTTGAGGCTTTCCGCTAATTTCGAGTGGGAAATTTCTCCTGATCGAATTAGCGCCCCTCTTGTGCAGAAGTTAGGGGATTTTTCCTCTTCATTTTTTTCCCCTCTGGCTTTCTGACAGTTGAGGCTTTCCGCTAATTTCGAGTGGGAAATTTCCTCTGCTCGAATTAGCCCCCCTCCTCTTGTACAGAAGTTAGGAGATTTTTCCTCTTCATTTTTTCTCCCTCTGGCTTTTTGACAGTTGAGGCTTTCCGCTAATTTCAAGTGGAAAATTTCCCCTGCTCAAATTAGCGCCCCTCCTCTTGTGTAGAAGTTTAGGGGATTTCTTCCTTACTTAGATTTGCACCTCTCTTTAATAAGGAAGTTGAGATGGGTGATCGCACCTCTATCAAAGATGCTTCCGCCAAAGAAGATCGTCTTACTGCCCATTCTGAGGGTTCGAAGAAGTTTTCCAAGGCGACTAAGGCTGATGATGTTATCTCCACAATCACTGAAGATTCTTTCATCTCTTTTAGGAAAAAATTCTATTTTCCTAATGATTTGGTGATGAAGGTGCCGGCGAGATCTAATCGCGCTTACTTTCCTCCTCCGGGATATGTGACAGTGTACGAGTTCAGTTTGCGAGCGGGGTTGAGGTTTTCGCCGCCTCCTGAATTGATTGATATTCTAACAGTCTGCAGATTGAGTTTGTCTCAATTTTCCTATCGGGCTATGTCGGTCATAGTGGGCCTGATTGCATTTTTCAGAGACCGCGGAGTGGTGTTGTCTCCAGATTACCTATCTCGGATCGGGCGTATGTATACTGATACGCAGGGTCGTATCTCCTTCAGATCCAAGTGGCTGGATATTCGTACCATGGATCCATCTAAAGACTGGAATAGCGACTTCTTCTATGTGCAGAACGATTGGGACCTCCAAGAAAAATGGGGAATGTTGAAGGAGTTATCTATCCCCTTCATATTGGAGTGGAAAACTTATTGAGGATACTGAAGCTTCCTGATATTGATGCCCTCCGTTATGAGATGCATTTTTTGAGCAGATGCATAGACGAAGAATATGTATTCAAGGTGGGACTATCTACTGAAGCAGGGAGGATGCATGCACAGATGTTGAAGAAATCTGTGAAAGTTCCAGAGACACAAAAAAGTCAATCCAAGCGACTTGAGGGCGAGGGAGATTTATAGGGGCCTAAGAAGAAGAAGTTGGATGAAGTTTTGACAATTACCGGCAAGGGTCCTCGCTTTTCTCCATCCATGATATATATTCCAAAGGATGTTCTGAAACGTAAGTGCATTGGTCGTTGACGAGCCGAGGAGTTGGTGAGTTCACCCTCTCTCCATTTCCCTTGTATTTGTGTACACATTTTTAGGGATAAACTTTTTACTTGTTGATTCTTTCTTGAAAAGTATCTTGAGATGAATAAAATCTTGGATGACTGGAATGATGAATTCGTGAAGGTACCTTCAGGGGAAATATAAGAAGAAATATGACGGTAAAGTGAAGGAGATGAAGGCGGTGGAGGATCAACTTGAACAATGCAGAACAGAATTGGCAAATAGGATCTCTTCAGCCTCTTCCCAAAATGAGCAGATGGACTATTTGCATATACAGTTGGTGGAGGCAGAGGCCACAAATAACCAACAACTGAAAGATCAGCAAATCCTTGAGGCTGAGAATAAGAAGCTCCTGAACAAATTGTTGGAGAAGGTAGCTCAACTGTCGCCGTCCACAGTCATATAGGAGTTCAAAAAGTCTTACACCTTTAAGATAATCATCGAGGATCAAGTTCAATAAGCTTGCGATTGTTTTATGAAGTAAAGTTGAAGGCTTTAGAAGTAGAGCTTATGGGAGATAGCTTCATCAAAGGCTTCATGAAGGGCGTTCGTGCAGTGCAACGTAAGAACGAAGGGGAGATCGAGGGGTTGACTCTGAGCCAGGCTTCTGGTGATCCTTCTCCAGACTCTGACGGTGAAGAATTGGAGAGTGATTTGTAGAAGATTTTTGCTTTGGAGGATGATGATGATGATGATCTTGAGATTCTGTAGAATTATTTTGATGTTTTCTGTGTCACTTTTATTTTCGTTGTTGTAATTGTATGTATGTTCCTGCTGTTCGTGTGTTGCTATTTTCAGACGATGTACTTGGTGTTTGTGAGTTATATATATATATATATATATATATATTATATATATATATATGAGATATCTTTGTTTTTCATATATGTTAACTCAAATGTTAAGGTAATCTTTTTGACTTGCACGAATGTGAGAGATATCTGCTTTGGATACTCTGACTTATTCGAGGTTGTTAATCAAAGCCCTTGCTTGATGATTTTAACCTGTGTGGAAGAGGTCGGACTTGATCCCTCTGGGATTAGTCGCCTAGTGATTGAGATACAACATTAGTTGTGTATTTCTCGAATCATAGGAAAAGAGTCCGAGAAGATGAGATAGTACAACGACAAAGCGAATATCACATCACTGTATTATATAAAATAGTACGACAACTCCCTAGTAAATTTAGGGATACAAAAAAGAAGTGTTCTTTCAATCAACATACAAAGACTGTACGAAAAACTTGAAAGATACAAAACATAGCTATAGAGCAAGATAAATACTACGAACGATATTACACCAAATGGATAGTAGCATCAACTTCTCATGAAAGTACTTGCGAAGGTTGCCCAATTCCAAGTTCAGGGAAGCATCTTTCCGTTAACATCTTTTAGTTTGAAGGTTCCAGGCTTGACCATAGCTACCACCAAGAAAGGACCCTCCCATAGAGGGGAGAGCTTATTACGCTGAGGGCCTTTTCCAACAGCTTCGATGCTTCAAAGAACTAAGTCCCCAACGGAAACGGTTCAAGGTTTTATTCTCTAATTGTAGTGACAAGTGATTCGCTAATGGTATGCAGCGACCCTGAGTGAGGCTTCATCCCTTGCTTCAGGGAGGAGATCTAGATTGGTCCTGAGTTTCTCCTCGTTGTTATTGAAGTCAAAGGTCTGAACTCTGTTACTTGGGACTCCAATATCCACTGGTATGACTGCTTCTGTACCAAAATAAAGGTTAAATGGAGTTTCCCCTGTAGGAGTTCTGGTTGTGGTTCGGTAAGCCCAAAGGACATTTGGGATTTCTTCAGCCCATTGCCCCCTAGCCTTACCTAGGCATGTTTTTAGCCCTTTCAGAATTGTTCGATTTATAACCTCCTTTTGCCAATTTGCTTGAGGATGGGCGACGGCCATGCTGAATATGAAAGTCTTTATAGAAGGATGTAAAGATTTTTCTGGTGAACTGGGTTCCGTTGTCGGTGATGACCTTTGCTGGAATACTGAAGCGACAAATTATATTCTTCCATAAGAATTGTTTGTCATTCACTTCGGTAATTTTTACAAAAGGTTCTGCTTCCACCCACTTTATGAAGTAATCTACAGCTAGAATGATGAATTTTCGTTGTCCTGTGGCTATAGGGAAGGGTCCGATTATCTCGATTCCTCATTAGGCAAAAGGTCAGGAGCTTTGAAGTGATATAAGTTCTAGAAGCGGGAGTATGGTTGAGATGCCAAAGCTCTTCCTGCGAGATGCTCGCCACATACTCCTGAATGAACTTCTCGGAGTGCATAGTCAGCTTTTGTAGGTGGGAGACACTTCAGGTATGGTCCGGTGAAAGCGCATTTATACAACTCAACACCAATGATGGTGAAATTCACTACTCGTCTTTGAAGTCTTGTTGCAGCCATGGGTTCTTTAGGTAGTACCCCATCTTGTAAAAAAGACAAGATGGGATTGATCCAAGACACCTCCCTTATTTCATCGATTGATTGTATGATCCATGGACCCTGAATACTTGGAAAATGGATTTCCTCAACACATTTTCTCTTATAGGTCTCTCCCGTCATTGATGTTGCAGGTTTTGAAAGAGCATCTGTTCTTGCATTTTGCTCTCGGAGAATATGTATGATTTGATATTTTCTTATATTGGCCAATAGTACTTTCACAATACTGAAATACTAGGCCAGTTGTGGATTGTGGATATCAAACTCTCCCTCCACTTGAGAGGTGACCAGTTGTGAATCAGTGTGAACTACTAGGTTCTGCACCTCACAATCAACTGCTAGTTTTAATCCGGTGATAAGGGCTTCATATTCTACCATGTTATTTGTTGCTGGAAACTTGAGTCGTAACCCATACTCAAGAGTAGTTTTCTGTGGGAAAATTAATAGAATTTCATCCCCAGTGCCAGAACTTCCAGAAGATTCATCAACATATAACGTCCAACATGGAGGAGAAGACAAATTATTTGGTTGGACATCGGATACAAGGACAGTGCATTCAACAACAAAATCTGTAAGTGCCTGAGAGTTGATATCGGGTCTAAGTAAATAGTGAATGTCAAATTCTCTCAGTTTTACAGACCACATGATGAGCCGACCCGATGCTTATGGTTTTTGCAGAATATTTTTCAGCGGTAGATTTGTATAGACCCCAATTGAGTGGGCTTGAAAGTAAGGGTGTAACTTTTTGGCAGAGTAAACTAACGCCAATGCCGTCTTATCTTCAAAGGGATAGCGTCCCTCTATTTCAGATAGGATGTTACTAACATAATAGATGGGGCGTTGCACAACATTTTCTTCTCTTACCAAAACTGAACTGATAGCTTGGGCAGAAACAGCTATATATAAATAAAACTTCTCTCCGGGCATTGGTTTGGAAAGTAGCGAAGGGGAAGCCAAATACTTTCGTAGCTGTTCGAAGGCTTCTTGACATTCATTTATCCATGGGAAACCAGAGCTACGAGTGCCTCTGAGCACTTTGAAGAAAGGAAGATACTTGTCTCCCGAGCATGCTAGGAAACGAGACAATGCTGCAATCCTCCAATTCAGCCTTTGGACTTCTTTGATGTTCTTAGGTGGCACCATATCTCTTAACGCCTTGATCTTTTCAGGATTGGCTGTGATCCCTCGGTGGGTTACCATAAAACCCAACAATTTTTCAGAGGCGACTCCGAAGGCACATTTGGCGGGGTTGAGGCGCATATTGTAATGTCTCAACAAATGGAAGCACTACTCCAAGTCAGAGATATGCTGAGATTTTTTGAGACTCTTTACCAACATGTCGTCCACGTACACCTCCATATTACACCCAACTTGGGTTTTGAAAATCTTATTCATGAGGTGTTGATAAGTTGCTCCAACATTTTTGAGCCCGAAGGGCATTACCCGATAATAATACAATCCTCTGTCTGTTTGAAATGCCGTTATTTCTTCGTCAATTGGGTTCATCTTGATTTGATTGTATCCGGAGTAGGCATCCATGAAACTCAATATTTGATGCCCATAAGTGGTATCGACTAACTGGTCGATACGTGGAAGAGGAAAGCTATCTTTTGGGCAGGCTTTATTGAGATCTGTGTAATATTTGCATATTCTCCATGCACCGCTCCCCTTCCGAACCAAGACGACATTTGCCATCCAAGTAGGATAGTGCACCTCTCGAATGAATCCGGCTTCTAAGAGTTTGTCCCCTTCTTGTTTGATCACCTGCTGACAATCTGGTGCAAAATTTTGTTTCTTATGGATGATTGGTTTGCACGCCAAATTGACCTTAAGGGAGTGTACAATTACTTCAGAGTCAATCTCGGACATATCTGTCGGGCTCCATGCAAAAACATCCTGATTTTCTCGTAGAAAATCTGTGAATTTTTCTTTTCGTCTTCTGAGAGAAGTGACCCAATTTGCACCGTCTTTAAAGGATGTTCCTCAGAGATAGATACAGTGGTGAGTTCTTCTACTGGGGAAGCTCTTTGAGGGATGTCTTCATTCCGGAGATCAAAGTCCTTAATGTTTAGAGTATCTTCGGGCATGACTTGACCTGCTGGCCTGAGATAGCAGGTTTGTGCTGTTTGTTGATCTCCGCATACCATACTAACTCCTGTCGGAGTATAGAACTTCTGTTTAAGGTGAGGGATAGAGGTGACAATCCTAAAAATTGATTGGAGTGGCCTCCCAAAGATAGCGTTGTAAGCCGACTTAGACTTTACAACGATGAACTGGACAGAGTGTGTAGACTGTCGGGGAAATTCTCCAAGTACAACTGGGAGACTGATTATCCTTTCTACTCGTACATGTCGATTATCAAATCCATATAAAGGACCTGCAGCAGGTTGAAGCTTCTCTCTAGTGAGACCCAAATTGAGGAATGTAGAGTAGAACATGATATCTACAGAGCTACCATTATCCAAAAAAATTATCTTAACATTGTAACATGGATCACCTATTCCTGTATTAATAACAAGCGGGTCCTGATGAGGGATTTTCACTCCTTCTAAGTCGGAATCATCAAAGGTGATGGAGTGATCCACACGTGCCTTCTTCGAAGTTGGGATTTCGTCTACAGCCAATAAGACTTTATCAGATAGCAAAGGGCCTCGGGTGATTGTCTCGATTTCACCAACTACTACTCGATTATTTATTTGCGGCCTATGTTGTTGATTTTGCCCCACAGCGAGAAGAGTTTCCTCTCTGGAAGGAGAATCCCGGATCAACTGTCGAAGATAACCCTGGCGGATAAGCCTTTCAATCTCCTCCTTCAGTTGTCTGCAGGCTTCGGTAGCGTGGCCACGACTATGATGAAAGTGGCAGTATTGATCCTGATTTCCTGTGTTCGGCTTCAAAGGATGTGGCCATTTCATCGTATCTTGATCTCGAACAGTCATTAACACATTTTCTCGAGATGTATTGAGAGGAGTGTACTCTTTCTCCTGTCGAGGTTCTCGATGTGGCAAAGGAGGCCTAGGAGGCAGATTGTGTTTCTCTTGCTTCTTTCGTTGTGCGGATGAATTTTTTGCTCCATGCATGTGCAATCTTGCACTTCCCGCTAGTTTGCTCAAACTACTTTATATTAGCGTTTATGGCCTCATCTGCAGAGATTTGCGCCTCTACGCGATGGATCAAATCGGTGTATGAATGAACGGTGTCTCACCTGAGGGTCGAACAGAAAGGGCCAGGGTGAAGGCCTCCAAGGAAGACTCCTCTCAATAGTTCAAGATCCACTCTTGGGATTTGTCTAGCTTTAGTGGAAAATCATTGAAAATACTCCCTCTATGATTCTCCTTCATTCTGATGGATTCCTGAGAGATGGGAAGAATCTTTGGTTATTCTTCTATTGGCTACGAACTGCTCGACAAAGGCCTTGGCCACTCTCACAAATGAGGGGATCGTTACGGACGGAAGTGAATAGAACCACGTTCGAGCATGTCCTTTTAGGGTGGCAGGAAAGACTTGGCAGAGAAGGGCGTCTGAGGCTCGCTGAATGTGCATGATGGTTCTGTAGTGGTCGATGTGCTCATACGGGTTAGATGCCCCGTCGTAAGACTCGATGCTGGGTACTTTGAATCCGACCGGAATGGGGTGCTGAAGAATGGCTTCAGTTAGAGGTGATGACTCCTGAAAGTCCCTTTGTCGAAGAGTTTGTCTCACATCTCCTCGGGGGAATTCTTCCTACACCAATTTTCACAGTTCATGGCGTAAAACATTTTGAGGGAGTTCAGCAATGTGTGGTTGGACTGATTCTTCTGGGAGATCTGGAGGGATGCGAGGCTGTCGAGTTGAAGGCGGAGGATGTGTAGAACTTGTTGTATCGGCAAGTTCGTTATCCTGTCATGACTAAGGATGTCTTCTAGTTGGAAGAAGATAAATCTCTGCTTCAAGATGTTTGAACTGAACATCTTCAACCCGTAGTGGATTTTGAGGGAGAAGAATTTCCTCCCTTTGTACCAGTGTTGGTTGTCGATTTTCTCGCATGAGTTGAAGGATCTCATTCTGAGATTCTTACATCTTGTGAATTCTCTCTTCTAAAGAAGGTCCTGAGGTCCCTTCTCCGACAGTATTCTGCCCCCCAGGACGAAAAGAGGCAGACATCGGGCTTCTGTGATTCGCATACTGATTTCTAAATTGATGAGAGTTGGAGCGAGAAGCTCCAATGATACTACTGTTGCGCTTGTTGACCATCGTAGCAGTAGTGGGATAGTGTTTCCCACAGACGGCGCCAAACGTTGCAGGCTAGAATATACGCGGCAATAGAGTTTACAAATTCACGTCTAAGCGTTACACGAATATTCAGCACACAAACAAAAAAGAAAATGAACACCAGGATTTTTACGTGGCAAACCTGAAAGAGGGAAAAAACCATGGGGCCACACCCAATTATAAAGTTCCACTAGTGTTTTGCAAATTACAAGGAGCTGATTCGTTTCACAAGTCAGGACGATCAGATTACAATACGTTTCTTCTAATTTGAAGAAAATTTACAAAGTTCTGAAGAATTCAGGCGTCTCTCGAAAATCCGGCAGAGTTCCAGCGTATTCAGGCGGCGGAAAGAACTCTGGCGGCGGTGGTCGAGGAGGAGATGATTCTCCCTTTCCCCTTCTCTTCTTCTTCTCTTCTTGTTTCTCTTCTTCTGCCTTCAGTCCCCTCTTATGAAGAATGAGGGCTCTATTTATAGTTTTTCTGGAGTGGCATAGCCCGTAAATAGGTGTGAGATCAGGGGCGAATTGGGAGTGGTTTGAATGGACGGTCGATATTGAATCCCTTGATCGTGCACCGTTCATCAGACATTTGAAGGCTTTAGTGATATCAGAATTCGGTAATCTTAGGCTCGTTGGATTCGTCTCATCGAGCCGTTCGATTTGAGTATAAGCTCGTTAAAATCGGAGACCGTTTGGTAACTCAAATCGTGATTTGAACCTTCCAACAGCGCTTCGGGTTCGGACCCATTTGGGCTCGGATTGGGTTGAATTTGATGTCATTGGGTTCGTATTTCTGAGACACTCAGTTTGACTATAAGCTCGCTGGAATCGGAGTTCATATGCTCCTGATTTTAATTTTTGAAGTTCTCGGATTGATTTTTGCTTCGAGATTCATGCCCTATCAAGATTATTTCATGATGATGTATGAAGTGCAAATAATAATAAATTTTTTGGAATAAAATTAATAATAATAGGAAAAGCATTTCTAGTTGTTTTGAAATTTATTATATCTGGACGAGATTAATTTTACAATATTCTCTTAATATAATTATGCTAAAAATTTTTTGGAATAAAATTAATAATAATAGGAAAAGCATTTCTAGTTGTTTTGAAATTTATTATATCTGGACGAGATTAATTTTACAATATTCTCTTAATATAATTATGCTAAAAATATAGTTAAATTTAAAAGATAAATATAATTGAATTATTGGATAGTACAAATAGATAACGGCAATTGGAACCAAAGTTTGAAGCTTAGTTTGGTGTAGAAAGATTTGAACTTTCAAATCAAATTCATACTACTTTTTATGGGCATTCTACTTCAATAAGTAGCCCAAATGGACATATTTAATCAATAATTTGTATGAGGTGTGTATATATATACATAGAGAGAGAGAGAGATCTTAGAAT